ATGATAAGACAAGATGCAAACAGATAAAATACAAAACAATGCCACTGCTAAAATCATAACTTTTGGGCTTTACCCACATTGTTCCCTCTCACATAGGTGGACCCCACATAAGAAATGAGGCTGTGGAATCTGGATGCAGCCATAACGATTGTGGATTTAGCAATCTCCTAAACACTACTAAAGAAGTGCATCATTCTCATGGCACCTTTACTGGCCAGACAAAGATTAATATATAATAGCATCAAGGTTACCTGAGCATCATTCAAGAACATAATTGATGAGTAGCTTTGCTACACAAACATGGTAAAGAACGAAATGGAAAGGCAAGAAATGAACAAACACACGTTTCCCTAGAATACTCTTCTTTTTTTCTTTCGGTTTCTCTCCCTATTTTTCATGTGTTTTAGTGAATGCAAAACTATATCAGAATCAGGAGTGCTGAAAACAACTGGAAGAAACTAGAAGTGAGAGACATTTTTGAGTAAAGAGATGGAATTCTGTCCAGTGGCCCCTAGAGGAAAATAGGTTTATAGTGTAAAAGAAGGAAGACAGATTAGAGTCTCACTTCCCCAGCACCAAGGAATAAAAATGTCTGCTCGGCCAAGGATCCACCAAGTAACTTCAGTGCCGCAACAAGCCCTACAAGAACCACAGCTGCTGTCCCCTGCAAAAGTGGGGAAAAAAAAAGTTAAGACAAGAACATGGGATTCCTCAAGGTTATTTGAACGACGACCATATTATCACATACCTGTATATCATCATTGAAGACAAGATGAGTAGTACTATATTTCGCTAGCAGCTCAAAAGCATTGTGGTTTGCAAAATCTTCAAACTGTAAAGCATTGGTAGCAAATCAAACCAACATTAGAACTGCAAGAACAAGATCAGGCCCTGAAATTTTTTCAGATTAAGGATGCAAATCCACCTGTATGAGTACTTTTTCACCATAGTTCTGCTTGACAGCAGTCATGAATTCATGAAGAAGGTCATAATATTCCTGGAATACAATTTGACAAAACTGCCTCAGTATTAAAGAGAATTACATAATGTATCTTAATGCTTGTAACTAAACACAATAAAATGCTAAAACTATTAGACCTTCCTAGTTGCCCTCCTTTGTCTGAGCCCAATGTAGAATTCATCTTTCAACAACTGCTCATTGTTTGTCCCCACATCAATGGTTACGGGCAAACACTGCACAGGCAAGTAAACAGATCGTTACTAAAATGGTAAAAATGAGAGGATAGCGCTAAAACCAATCAATATTATATGGTCAAGCTGACAACTAAAGCATGGCATTTACTTCTTGACACAGTACTGAAAATTAAACACACATATTAACACAGTTTCATCGGTACTGAAGTAAAGGTTTCAAATAAGATATACTAAAATGAGCATCTACAACTGTATATGATTAGCTGGTGACACTTACCGAAGAAGGTCTAACTCCGCCAAGTGCTGTATACAGAGCCAGTTTTCTAACAGGTATCCCCGTCCCCTGATAAAAATTAAGCTTGTTATTAGCTACAAATGCATTTTAACAGGCGTTTGCCACAACAGGCCATCTGAATTAAATGCCTGCCTATTAATAGACAGAGACACAATGTTAAATGATAACATAGATTATTAGCACAAAACAGGTTAAATAAACAATTTGCTCTAATGAAGGAACCCTTGAGAACTTCAACACATACATAGACAACACAAAAGCAGCTGGACACATTAATCATGCAATGCATACCAGGCTTCTAATGACACTGGGTTGATCACCTTGCCTAATTAACTACTCATGTATTTGTTTATCTTATCATAATCACCGTCTTATCTTCAACCTAATAATATGGGCCTAACTGGAAGCATGAAAAATTCTCGGAAAGATGCAGATACTAGACACCACACAGCAAGTACTAACCTTGGTGTACCAGATCTCTTCTCCTCCAGCAACCTGCACAACTCGACCTTCAACCAAACCACCTGCACATGAGCCGTTAATGAGCGAAACTTGAAAAGAGTTGAACATGAATTACTTATATTCATCGTGTGATTACAAGTAATATGCCATTGTTTACATTTATAAGTTTTGCAATTATTGAACTGGAAATCTAGTCATACTACCCAGCAAATGAAATGAGTAACAGATAGAGGTGTGGATTTAGCAATCTCCTAAACACTACTAAAGAAGTGCATCATTCTCATGGCACCTTTACTGGCCAGACAAAGATTAATATATAATAGCATCAAGGTTACCTGAGCATCATTCAAGAACATAATTGATGAGTAGCTTTGCTACACAAACATGGTAAAGAACGAAATGGTTCTTTCGGTTTCTCTCCCTATTTTTCATGTTTTTTAGTGAATGCAAAACTATATCAGAATCAGGAGTGCTGAAAACAACTGGAAGAAACTAGAAGTGAGAGACATTTTTGAGTAAAGAGATGGAATTCTGTCCAGTGGCCCCTAGAGGAAAATAGGTTTATAGTGTAAAAGAAGGAAGACAGATTAGAGTTCACTTCCCCAGCACCAAGGAATAAAAATGTCTGCTCGGCCAAGGATCCACCAAGTAACTTCAGTGCCGCAACAAGCCCTGCAAGAACCACAGCTGCTGTCCCCTGCAAAAGTGGGGAAAAAAAAAGTTAAGACAAGAACATGGGATTCCTCAAGGTTATTTGAACGACGACCATATTATCACATACCTGTATATCATCATTGAAGACAAGATGAGTAGTACTATATTTCGCTAGCAGCTCAAAAGCATTGTGGTTTGCAAAATCTTCAAACTGTAAAGCATTGGTAGCAAATCAAACCAACATTAGAACTGCAAGAACAAGATCAGGCCCTGAAATTTTTTCAGATTAAGGATGCAAATCCACCTGTATGAGTACTTTTTCACCATAGTTCTGCTTGACAGCAGTCATGAATTCATGAAGAAGGTCATAATATTCCTGGAATACAATTTGACAAAACTGCCTCAGTATTAAAGAGAATTACATAATGTATCTTAATGCTTGTAACTAAACACAATAAAATGCTAAAACTATTAGACCTTCCTAGTTGCCCTCCTTTGTCTGAGCCCAATGTAGAATTCATCTTTCAACAACTGCTCATTGTTTGTCCCCACATCAATGGTTACGGGCAAACACTGCACAGGCAAGTAAACAGATCGTTACTAAAATGGTAAAAATGAGAGGATAGCGCTAAAACCAATCAATATTATATGGTCAAGCTGACAACTAAAGCATGGCATTTACTTCTTGACACAGTACTGAAAATTAAACACACATATTAACACAGTTTCATCGGTACTGTAGTAAAGGTTTCAAATAAGATATACTAAAATGAGCATCTACAACTGTATATGATTAGCTGGTGACACTTACCGAAGAAGGTCTAACTCCGCCAAGTGCTGTATACAGAGCCAGTTTTCCAACAGGTATCCCCATCCCCTGATAAAAATTAAGCTTGTTATTAGCTACAAATGCATTTTAACAGGCGTTTGCCACAACAGGCCATCTGAATTAAATGCCTGCCTATTAATAGACAGAGACACATTCCAATTAATACCTAGGAAGAAGATAAATATGTATTAGATTAGTACCATAACTAATGCGAACAAGGAACCACTGAAAAAACTGTCATGTAAATACTCTACCTTCTGGTTTTTACAATTAATTATGCATTTGGCTGATGAACAAAAAAAATAATTATGCATTTGGAAGGTAATTATCTATGTACTAAAACAAAATGGAATTACATGCTTTTGTTTTCTCTAGTATCTTAAAGCAAGAATCCCTTCTTTCAAGTAGAAATTTTAAAAAAGCAGTTTGTAACACACACTGAAAAGGGGTATAAAAAAAGTTTTAAAAAAGCTATTGGGAAAAGAACAGAACAAGAGAGATTACAATGATATGGGAAATGAAGATTGAAGGGTAACTGAAATATCAAAATTAGCATAAGTATGAGAGTAAATGCTCCTCCAGATGCTAATTAAAACAAAATCAATTCATATCCAAGCAGCATCTAAGCACACAACACATATGCACCAATCAGCTTCAAATTCACAACTGGGGATTGATGTAGACTAAAGAGGCACCTCAAGGTCCATCATGGCCATGTACTTCTGCAGTGGAACTTGATATTGGCGAATATTGTCCATCAGTTTCTTCTCCTGATAAGTCAAATGAGAAAATTTCAACAAGAATGATTTGAACTAAAGTGAGGTTGCCAACCTCCTTCAGGCTCACCTTGCCATTATTCAACCAACCATAGGCTCAACTTTTTGGAGCTCATTTGACAAACAAGAAGTGAATAAGGAGCAGAGCATCATTTTCCTAATCACTCTCAACTCGAATGAATATGATCTGTAATATATGTTACAGGACAAATTGATATAATAGCTAAAATAATAGAGGATGCACAGACACATCACACAGATTCAAAGGGTGATATGTCTTCCTTCATCACCTCACCAGATTCTAAAAGTTTTTTTTTCATAAATCTCAAGTGCTGAGGGGTGATTCCGGATGACCTATCAGCACCCATTCCACATCACAAATATAAAAAAAATTACTCACTAAATTCAAATAGATGTTAATAATAGATGCAGTGTCATAACCAGAAACAAATCCGAAAGTAACAAAAATTAAGCTTCCAACCCCAATTCTAACAAGAGCGGTAAGGTCTAGAAAACTAAACATATAATAAGGCTAACCTTGTACATATGTGGTTGTGTGAAAGACGTCTCATCCATCTCATTGTGCCCAAATCTACGATAACACACTATATCAATCACTGAACTGAAGAAGAATCGAAGAACAATCACTGAACTGAAGAAGAATCGAGAGACATTTGAGTGAGAGAAAGAGAGAGCAACTAACCTCTGATCGAAGAAGACTAAGAGCTCCAAATCCACGGAGATGAATCACCGATCTATGCTCAAAATCGAACTTCAAAATCGCAATCCCGAGATGAATCACCGAACTGAAGAAGAATCGAAGTAGAATCGAGAGAGATTTGAATCAGAGCGAGAGCAAAGAGTGAGTGAGAGATTTGAGTGAGTGAGAAGGAGACGGCAGTGCTCAAAATAGGGTTTTCAAAATAAAAATAAAAGAGAGATAGAAGAGGGTGTGAAGAGAGACAGGGAAGAGGGTGTGAAGAGAGACAAGATTTGGAGGCGTTTTTTAAACGTCTTCTATTTACGAAACGGCGTCGTTTTACCTAACAAAAAAGGCGACGTTTAAAAAACGCCGTTAATTATAAAAAAAAGTGACGTTTAACTAAATATCGTTAATTAAACGCCGTTAAATCCTCATTTTCCTGTAGTGCTAGAAGCAACCTCTGTAATAAGAAAATGAATATGTGCATATAAAAGAGTTATTATTAATTTTGATCGAGCGATTATTTAAGACAATTAGATAGGTTTAAGTGCAAGTTCAAAAAAAATATCCACAAAAATAATATTACCACTTAACTGTTTCTTTTTTTTTGTTGTGATTTTTGAGTGACAAATGAACTTGTCTATAGTCACAAATGAGCAAGACAAGTATCGATTATAATGTAAATTGAAAGTACAAGCATAAAAAAATTGGGTGTTAAATCGGCCATAAAAACTATAAACTACCGTGTCAATTGTAAATTAAGTCATAAATTAATCATGAACCGTTACATATCAGAAATTCATCGATGTGCATCTAACTTAAAATCAAATATATTGGTATTGAAAAAAATTAGATGGGTATATTATGTCAAAAATTAAATATGTACTCAATTTTTTCCTTTTTAGATACATATTAATGTGTACTAATTAAATATTATTTTTTTATTCGTATTGAAAAACAAAAGCTTAATACTTATCGACACTTATTAATGAAAACCATATGACAAAAGACTCCAATAAAATCATGAGAAAGAATTATGTAATTCTCCATTGATAAGGATGGTGTAATGAAAATTAAAACAAGCATGGCCTACAAGGGAATGGGAAGTAGGGAAGAGAGAGAGAGATATGGGAGACAGAGTTTCATGGCCGAACCGCCATTTGCAACACCAGAGCAGGACATGGAGGGGGCTAAGGAGAGCCCCACAAGTCAGTGATGGAGGATGCAGGCCACGTGGCATGTAGTCCCATGTCCATGTGCCACTCCTGTCAATGTGTGAGAATTGAGAGAGGATACATTGCATACCCTATAAGACAAAATTAATGGGGTACCTATGCAAATCAAAATTTTCTTCTTGATTTTTCTCCACCTTCCTTACTTGTCAGGTTATTGGGCTCACTTTTGGGTCAATTTTGATAGTTCAAACCGTTTACATCTTAAGATTTATTGAGTATATCATACTTGTAAAAAATCAAGTTAATCGGATATCAGGAAGCATGTGTTCGGAAAACTGTTTATTAAATTTTTTTTAAAAAAATGATTTTTAGTTCGATGATCCGAACACATAGTTTTTGATATCCGATCAACTTGATTTTTTATAGGTATGATATACCCAATAAATCTTAAAATGTCAACAGTTTGGATTATCAAAATTGAGTCAAAAGTGGACCTAATAACCTAACAAGTAGAGAGTGAGGACAGAGACTAAGGAGAGATCCTGGTTCACCCTATGCTGCTGAGAGAATAGCAAAATCTCTGTCATGTGGTCCTCCCTTGTTTGTTTCCTCATTTTTCTGCTTAGTCAAATCGGTTCCAAACACTCCGCAACTAGTCACCACCAAGGGTAAGAGGTTATTTGGTACTGTTGATTTGAGTTTATAATTTTAAAAATGTGTTATAAATTATTTGGTATAAATTTTAGTTATAATTTATTAAGTAAAAATAATTTAAATAAATAAAAAAAGAATTGATTTCTAAACGTTGGAAGAGAGGTACTTTGGAATTATTAATTTTTAATTTAAAATAAATTGTACCAAACACTACTTAAATAATCTTGTCATGCCATAAAACACTTGACAGAATCTATCATGAAGTCTTTTACAATTGAACGGCAAAGTTTTGTGACAAATTTTGTGTAGTTTTTCGTGGTTTGTATCATTATTTATTGGATAAATTGTTTATTTGATTGTTGGATTAAATTAGATTATTATGAAAAAATTTAAAGACAACTCGACACTTATTACCAATTTAGTACAACTTTCGTCGTCACTTTTTCATAACTTTTAGAAGAGTTATTAAATTATATTGGAATCTAAAAGCACATAAATTTGAATACAAAAGAATTCAAGAATAGATCACCTTATATGTCCAAAATATAACTTTCAATGCACATTTACATTTTTTTCCCCTTCAATTGTGAAATTGCCATAGCCAGCCGGATTTCAAAACCAAGTGATGGTGATATAGAAGATGAATATGTGATGGAAGCTAGTAGAATCAATACTTACAATAAGAGAACTATTCTCTCAACAAAATATTATTCCAAATTTTTACTTACGGAGCACTTTTAAGTCTACTAAACAAGGACAAAAAAAAATTTCCTTGCTAATCAAACTAAAAAAAATAATAATAATAATAATAATAAAAGACAAAATTCAAAAACTAATGGTTTAAACCATGGTATCTGCCCAAAAAACAAACAAATAAAAAAAAATCAATCCTAAGTCATAATAAAGCAATGAGTGCAATTATTAAAATAAATAAATAAATAAACAAATTACACTTAGTAACCTCTCTATTTTTATCAAAATTTCACTTTGGTCTATTCACTTTTAATTGTAATAGTCAACCCTTCACATTTTGAGTCAAATTGCAATCACACTCTTCCATCCATCTTATTATTAATAAAGTTGAAAAAATTTGTCATTTGAAATAGAGCCCCGGTACAGAGCTCGAAAACCGGGGGCTCGAATTTGGCTCGAATTTGAGAAGGAAGAAGGAGGAAGAAGAAAAAGAGAAAGAGGAAGAAGAAGAAGAAGGAGAAACAGAACTGGAGGGGGCCATAAAAATGGGGGCGGAGGCGGAGGCGGGGCTGCGATGCGACGAGCGACGAGCGCCGATCTGCGACGATCGGCCGACAAGCTGCGACGACGACGACGAGCTATGACGATGACGACGACTCTCTCTCTCGCCTCTGTTTCTCTCTCGCCTATGTTCAAACGAAGAAGAAGAAGAAGAAAAGAAAGAAAGAAAGAAAGAAAAGGAAGAAAAAGGAAAAAAAAAAAATCAAAACGCAAAACGACGTCGTTTTGCATTTTGAGCCAAATTCGAGCCTTGATTTCGGGCCCTCAAACATTTTTCTTTGAAATATATGTGACATTTTTGTTGTCTCATTAATATATTTTTTGCTAAAATCTCACTTTAGTGCTCACAGTTTCATAGAAATCTCACTTTAGTCCCTCTATTTTCAATTTTTGTTAGTTTTATTAACAGTAGATGGATCAAATGATGAGACTAAAATTTGATTTTAAATTGTAATGAGTTGGCCATTTCAATTAAAAGCGAAGGGACCAAAATAAAATTTTAGTAGGAGTTTGTTTGGCATATGAGTTTTTTGGACTTTTTGGCTAAAATAGCTACAAAAAAAAAAACAAAATAGACTAAA